AGCACCGGTTTGAGCACCGTTTGAGCACCGGCACCGTTTCAAAAGTACCGATTTGGCACCGGTATCGGATAAAACCTAAACGATACCCATCCCTACGTGTGATACAGCTGGAGGTGATCAGACCTCAGGTGATACAGGCTGGTTGGAGTGCTTTAGCCCTTCTGTGTCCTACAGGTTCAGGTGTCCTGGTGTGTTCCTGTGTACTCTGACCAGACTGGTGTTTGTTATGGCTCAGGAGGCGGAGGGGCTGTACCGGACTGTACAATGGGATGAGAGCCTCCTTCAAAAAAACAAAAAAACAGCTAAACATGAGAGGTTTTTGGACAAAGTGTGTGTTCTCCATTCTTTCAGCACCGGTTCGCGCACCGTTTAAGCGCCGGCACCGTTTCAAAAGTACCGGTTTGGTACTAGTATCGGATAAAACCTAAACAATACCCATCCCTACTCCTGTGGAGTCCACCTGTGCACACACAGTACTACCAAACTCATCTCATACTGAACACACACACTTTATAGGAATCATCAGTACTTTGACTGTTTCTCAGGTTAGCTTCAGGTTAGCCATTTAGCATTTCTCCAGTCTGAGTCACAGAGCGTCACATGATGTGACAGAAGTTGATTGGTCAGTTGCAGTGATGGTGGTGGAGCAGCATTAATGATGATGCTGTAGAACACGGGGATATCAAACTGTTATTGGGTTTAGTCATTCCTGCTGCACTGTTTGTCCTTCTTATTGCAGTGACCTGCTGAGAGCTCACACTGTTCTCTGTAGAAATGATGTCAGTTTGACTCGTCACATGTTTGGAGGCATGTTTGATGTTTGCTCTTCTGGAAACTCTCAGTATAAAATATGGAATATGCAAAGGAATGGAGACACGCTTCAGTCTTTATGGACCTGTTTCTATACCTGCCACCATCATTCTAAATGTTTGTACATCAGCTTATGATATAGAAGAAGACTCTCCTGAGTTTCTCAGGAGGAGAGTCTTCTCCAAGCACGACATCCCAGTGTACTTCAGACCCAGCCACACACTCATACAAAAACTGGTTCATCTCAAAGACAAAACTCCTAAACACAAACTAAACAACGTGGTGTATGCTGTACAGTGTAGTGAGGAATGCTCAGACTTCTACATTGG